ATTGCACAGCGTTCCACAATCTGAATCAAGTTTCTGCCTGTCCTTCTTGACATCTGTCTAACGTTTTCACCACAACTTCTCCCACTCATCAGAATGAAGTTCAACGCCAGTGAGGAGCAAAGGAAGGTGCGCGGGACATGACATCACGTACCATGTTTTAGCCAACTGCTTGCGATATACTACAGTTTTTTTCGTATTCGATGTAGTGTTCGTCGTTGGGTGCCATGAAACTGTGTGATTTTTTTCACAGTCAGAATTTCATCTTTTATGCACAAAACAATTGTGTTTTAATCCTCGGCACTTTATTACCCCGTGATCCCTTATCCGTTCAGTTTACTTCGACGTGGGTCAATGTTTGTACTATCTTCGAAGCAGTTTGCCTCTTTGCTGTCTATCGAAGCTGGTTTCCAGTACGAATCTTTACTTGACCTGGGTGAGTTCGCGTACGGCATGCTCTACCACACATTGAACGAAATTAATACAACCTGGCGCAACTTTAGTATTCTGGACAGAATGATGATAAAGTTTAATGTATTCTTAGAATTCGCATCTCATCTCATTTCATTTTAACTTGAAATACAGGCTGATCAAATTGTGTAAGTCGTAGTAACCCATAGGCAGACTGCTTTGCCAAAAAGGAGGTGTATTTATGGTATCGGTCAAAATTTTTCTTCGAATACAAATACACGGAGCCAGATTCGAACCTTTTTAGTAGGGAGCTTTGCTCTCGTGTGATTCAATATTTCACCTATGGTGACCTAACAATGGGCGCTTTGGCTGTTAACCACACTGAGGTGTTTGATAAAAACTCTAATACTGAAACTGATGTTTTACACGGTGGCTTTAATTTTCCTCTCTGGTGGATATCCTTTTACAAATTATCCTGTATGTATGCCATGGGATCCTGGATCGTCTTAACGATACGCTATCTGCTTCTGGATGCACTGAATAATGAACAAGGTGAGTTGCGCACTTCTCTGAATATTCATTCCGCCTGTTCAGAGTTTATAATGTTAGAATTGAATCGATTCAGTTCGTAGTTTCGATGAATAGTTACTTTTCCCATTTCCCACTGGACTCGATGCACAACTAGACTTCGCTTTTACACATAGACCGCAACCTTCCAAAGTCCAGAAACGTTCTCCTCGGAGTAACTTTGGTCTATGTATCATAAAAGTGTGTCCAATCGCATACACCACAACTAACCGTACACGTTTTTAATAATGCCATCCAAGAAAATGGAATTGTTCACCGAAGAACCTGGAACGGCTAAGATCCTTAGTTGACGCCACGGATTTCTCGGTTTTTACAGATCAGAGCCCTTCTCTCCTCTATGAACATGTTACTGACTACCTTAATTTTTGCTTTAACCAGTGTTGCCCACTTGAAACAGTTCATCCATAAGGATAGATATTCATCACCGTTATTAAAACAGCGACGCAGGCGGAATGAATATACCTATAAGTATGGACAGAAAACCAATGTCAAGCAGGTACAATTTTGATCAACTCTGAAATAAATGAATCGTTTAAATAAATTTTTCAGATTGAAGTCTTATGTTGAAATTGGGAAAAGTTCAGTAGCCTCGGTTGGATTCTAACCCACGCATGGATGCCGCCCACGCTTTTTGTACAGCGCACGATCTACCACCGGAGCTACGAAGCCACACCGATAGCACTGATCTTTTCACATTCCAATCACCCATCCAACTTACAGAGGCAAATGACATCCACCAGGTAGCACATAAGCTGTACAAAAGCATACGCGGCGTCCATGCGTTGGTTCGAATCCCATCGAGGCTGCCGGACTTTTCACAATTTTAACATAAATAAATTGTATAGACTATCTTGGGAAAATTCAGTTCTCATGGCATTTGGATAGCCACTGTGGCGGTACTAACAAACAAAACAAAAATGAAAACTGACTTTTTTCTGACTTTAGTTCAGTTTCACAATGCACAGCCTTGCCAGACTTGGCCAGCTCTATACCTCCACCAACTGCCGAACCCGCCAGGATCCACCGACAGCCATAAAAAACGAAAGTGAATAAAGCATCTGTTCTGGAAGACTGTCACCGGTAATACTCAAGGTATCTGCGGACACTCAATTTCACTGTCTAGCATAGAAGGCAGTTCATGTGCCTAAACGGCGAAACGGGAGATATGATAAATGAATAGTCTAATGGGGATCTTTTTGGTGTCTTGCTTCATCAAATCGGATGTGGCTGATTTTGCTCTGAGATTTTGTGTTACTCATGTGGTCCTTTTTGGGGTGGAGGAGGAGGAGGAGTGATTTCGCGAACTGTTTTTGAGCGCACATGAGGACCGGCTTTGTAGACGATTTCCAACCACCTCAGCGGTCGATAGACTGCAACTTTTAATTGGCTGAGATCGGCGACCGAATACGTTAGAGCAGATGAGATGTTTCATTCCTACTTTGATTTGTCAAGGTATAAAGTAGTGGCACTTGCGATGGCTTTAGTTACCTTGGTGTTCAGTCAGCCATCCACCATGAAAGCGATTGCAACTCGTCTACACTTCCCTCCATCTTGTAAAATCACTCAGCCCCTCATGTACCTCTCTGTCGCTTCCACCCCAGTTCACATGAATAAGGGAGACTAAACATAATAAACAAGATCTCAGAGCAACCTGGATTCACAGAGCAACCCTCTTCTCATATTCCTCTGCCAGTTTGCGCACATCAAATAATGCCCGTGAGTGTATTGACATCAAGCAAATAACGATGAAGTTGCGCAAGTGAATAATTTAATTTTTAGGGTAGTCCAGACGATTTGGAAAATTTCAGTTGATTGTTTCACTTACACATGCATGCAGTTTGCCAACGTTTTGCGTTCCCACTTCATCATCCAACTACGCCATGTGATTTACGTTCTTTCCCTCCGATAGTTCAAGTTTTTTCTCTTTTTTTGTTTCACAGGTGCCGGAGATGGTATGGTCACACAAAAAATGGCCGTCTTCTTTCATCACGTTTACGTGACTGAGGTGTCACGTCCAATGTGTTGGCGCCTTCGTGAGCATGGCTTCACGTGAGTTCGACCTCGTTTTTTATCATCGATGCTCTCTTCTTTCCTGAGAGTTCGTGATCGCTACCACCTAGGTATCCCGTCGTCCCACAATTATCACTTCTCCTGTTTAGCTGCATTTACACTTTACAGTGTTTTTTGTGTGATTTAATTCTATTGTACATTTAGACTGATTAGAAGGAATGCAACAAGTCTCATTAAACGGCAAAATCGTCCCTTGGACTACAACCGGTTGCCTAGGCATGACTTATTTGATTCTATGTCGAGCTAGAACCGGGGAAGACTGAATTTTATTCGAAAGTTATTGTTGCAAGACCGTTATTCAGAACGGTTTTTGGATAGTTTTAAGATTTTTAAGCTTGCTAGAATGCTGCAAAGAAAATTGCACAATTCTATCATGCTTTCTTTCCGAAATAGTTTATCGCGGGTTGTTTCCGGTTGTAGCGTGAAGTTATTCTAGTACCAGAAGTACCTACTGTTTTTTTCCTCTCGGCCACTTTTTGACCTAGAAAAAACTTACCCAGAAAACCGAAACATTATAGTTGTTGGTGCTTTATTTTGTATCCGTAGTTATCTTGAATGTTTACAAAATCTTTTCTGCTTTATAAAATTGATGTTTTCATGTTCGAAGTCGGTAAGGAATACTTCAAATGTTTAAATCTCCTCTCAATCCTACTACAACATGCTTTGAACCCTAAGGTCCGAGGTTCGAACCCTGCCATACTCACCCAACTTTGGTGATAGACAATTTTGCTGTCGTCCGGTTTGATACTACGCCTAACTACGCCATCCAAACTACCAGGGCTTGGGTTGTCTTCTTCGATTACTGTACGGTAGATCTTCGAGACTGGGGTTTAACCCGATCTGTTCTTCACACAAGAGTGTGATAAAAAATCGCACCGTTATTATCGTTGTCTAGCCCATACACGCACACGGAGCGCAGATTACACTCTACATTTTACGTAAAAATCAATGGAGTGTTTTGTTCGCAATGTGTGCTATAGGTCAAATGAGCCGACAACTTAAATGCTAATTCACCACAGGAGAGTAATGAAGACTTGTGATACACAGAGCTACGCTAACGTGGAAGTCTTTTTTGTTTGACGTCTGTTCATCACCCTTATCGGGCAAGCTTTTCCTCCCGCACGTCTCAACGATCCCCGTGATACGCTTTGTTCAATCATTTGGCCAACTTTTTGATCTTTTTAAATCAATTTGAATCTTAGGACTTGACGAAAGTGTTGGTGGTGTTTGTAATACGATAGTACACTCGCGATAAAACATTTGCGATCGAATAATGAACCGTCGTTCTTTGTCAGTGTGCTTTTTCTGGTTGTCTCATACTTTGTCGAACTTTGCCACTATTCAAGTCACTTTCTGCTATGATACAGTCATTCGGTACGTGTAATTCAACGACACTGATTTTCTTTTCCTGTCCCCCAGTCTGCCAAACAAAAAAATGCACTAAATACTTTTCTAACCCCCCGGTTCTCATAGGGCAGTTGAATAGTTTCACTACTTTTTAAAAAGAATGAAACACAATAATTCTGATTCATTAGTTCTAATGCAATTTCTCTTCATCAAGTTGAGTCTCGGCGAGAGCTGAGGTTTCATTGTACCAGAGCGGAAACGCACACCGTGTGAACGTGTATTGGTGTGTCAATCTACATTTAAAACAACCGGATGGGTATACTGTTCTTATTTTGACAGATCTCCACGTACTCACGAGGTCCTGATGTGGCCAGTAAGCGTATCAGTTCTTGTGCCACGAGGGTGGCAATTTGGGTGATAGTTATAATTATGGCTATTCTGGAATCACTGTGACTCTGCCTCGCGCTACATGGTTCCCTCTGTTCGGCTTATGCATAATCTTCCATTTCCGGTGTCTAGTAATTCTAACTCAGTTAAATCGATTCCCCACTGAAGTGCTCGTTCAGTTAAATGCGCAGAACGTACCACTTTCAGTTCCTGATTCGGTGTGTGTGTGTGTGTATGGATGTGGTTTCGCGCACTGCATGTTGCCTTCCATCCGACAGAAATTCAGTCGTAGTCGCCATCATTATCTGTATGTGTATGTGTGTGCGTGTGCACGGGTGTGGGCGTATTTACTCCCTGTCTTTTCCCATGATAATTATGCTTGAGGTTATTCACCAATTTGTAGGTTTATTTCTGCTGAATCTAGGTTCCGAATTGAGGCCAAATCCACTGATTGTTTACCGTATTGACAGTTCTGGCCCAATCCAGTATTCTCCTTTTTCCTCGTTGATGGGGGAAGTTAATCTTCGGGACTCGATCCACTCATCGTGGTGAGTGGAGGTCGGACGAGAGGAAGTGCAGTCTGACTACTTTGGATAGATACCGTTGATTTACCACACCGAAAAACATCCTGTGTACGATATCGCTGCCGCTAGTGTTTGGACTCGCTACAGTACCCAAATAAAGTGACATCTAACAAAGTCACACAGCAGTCTCTATGGTCCAGTGGTGCTTAGGGTTTTTACACAAACCAAACCTTTGATTGGTCACCAAAGGAATATCGTGAACGGGGTCTCATATAGAAAGCTAAATGCCACTGTTTTGCATTATCTTGCAAATGTCGAAGTATGAGGCTAGCCATGTTTCATCTGGTTTCAGTTTGAAAGAATCATCTGTTAGCGCACAGCTCATGTGAGATGGTAGATAATTCCAAGCGGTGCTCCTTCCGGTAGCAAGAAAATGATACTGGCATTTCAGTTGACCTTTTTAGAACACTAGCTTAAATGAACACCCCGTGGGGTGGGCGTTGCACCACGGCGTTAGTAGCGGACAATACGGGTGGTGTTAGAGTTCTGTAGTATGTGATACGCCAAAATATTCTTTTTGAAATCAGCTATACGGAATGGAATGCTAGCACATTGATTGCAATCTCTCCACGTGGACATAGTAAAGCACTCCTGTTCATTGACCGCATAACCCAGTGATACATATTCGCTAAAATGAGAGTCGCGCAAAAAATCACTTGGTTAGAGTAAACATGGTATCCTTCCCTGACCACTGCGCATGGAGCGCAGTGGTCAGGGAAGTTTCCACTTAGCGATGTATGTGGAATGCGATTACGTATTGGGAACAGTGTTTGAGAGACAGCTAGTGAGAGTCGCAGTCCTTCTGAGTTCGGTGAACATGGTTATCGGATATAGGAACCAAATATGTAGTTTGGGTGGATTACAGACTATTTTGTCTACATGGTTCCCCAGAACACATTTCAAACAAGACAGTGACTGACAATCCCGTTTATCTTGGTTCGTAATCATGCCAATACATCACATCCGTTTTGCGGAAGGAAAAAAACACATCAATGATCGCTAGCATCGATTTTATTTTGCGGACCGGATGAGAACCTCACACTGATCATGCAGTTGTTTGTTCATTCATCCGATCATAAAGATTGCTTGAAATGTGAGGAGTGTGGATCGGAGGGATTTAAGCGGTTGCTCAAATTGCTTTTGGGCACAGAGATCGGGATTATGCAGTTGAATTCTGCTATGAGGAAGCATCCCCAAGTGAACTTGCCTTCATAGTTGTCGGGGAACGTCATATAGGGAAAGGAGGGTGGAGGGTGGGGGGTAGCGCTTGAGTCACTTTCCCAGTGAAGTTTGTTTAAGCTGGGTGTGATATATGCATATAAATATACATGTATTTATAATGAAAGACAAGGGATTACCGGATACGCATACCTGACGAGCTGCGAGAACCGCGAAATCGGTCGTGTGCTTCCAGGGAAATTTTGTCCAGTCCTTCATGTACTATTTATTGTAATATATATATATATATATATATATATATATATATATATTCAATAGGATCGTACTGATCTGATTATGAATCACGAATCATTATGTTTTATGCCACTTATTGCAATTACCCACGCCACACGTGACATAGAAACAATGTGGTTGATTTAATCATTGCAGGTATTACTGGTTTATTGATTGAACCACATAGAAAAGTGTGACATGGGATTTTATTTAATGAAGGTATGTTGCCTGGTGTTCATATGCACACTGTTTGTATCTCTTCTTGTTTCACAACAGTGGCTAGTCCTATCTTATGCAACTATTGAGGACTCACGTTAAAGTATGTCTATGGTTTGGCCGGTAGGAACTCAGTCTTGGTCTTTGATCAGCGTTTGGTTTGGTTGATAGATCTTTCTCTGTTTCCATTGATCCCTGCACAGTGTTTTGGACGCCGACACATGGGAATTGGATCCGCCACCCAGTGATGATGGATCCGACACCAATCCCGTACCGAAACGTTTCGATGTGATCAGTTGTTTGAATCTGTTGGATCGTTGTGACGCCCCATTGACCATGCTTAAGCGAATCGCCGGTGCACTCAAACCGCGAACGGGTCGACTGGTTCTGGGCATTGTCTTGCCTTTGAAACAATATGTGGAAAGTAATTATCAATATGCGTTTTGTATGACTTCATTGATGTCCAACAAGGATACTAATGTGGTGATTTGTTTTTTGCTGTATCAGCATGCATTAAACATTGTAGGCATACATAAACAACGGAACCGGGGGAGGCTTCATTCAATAGGGGAAATAACTAACTTGATAAATCCAGATTGATGCGGAGTGTAAGACTAATTTTTACTTCAGATCAATTAAACCGCTCATTCGATCGGTTATCACAACTGTGTTAAAACTGGCCACTAATTCTCAAACTCTTCCATTCAACTCAATATCCGGTTAACAGGCATCCATGGATTTGTTTGTGCTTTTCATGACTATTCTCTATAAACTGGAGTGACCTAATTTCTCTATGTTAACTTGCGCACACCCACATGCGCGCGTGACGCATATCACTCATTATAGTCATGCAATCTCAATCCAACNACCGCCACAACGTGGTGTGATGGCTTGTGTGCCTCTATGACCCTGTGAGCTATACAGGATGGCTCCTAACAACCGCAGATCCAGTCTTGCCTGAAAGGTTAATGCATAGAGGCCGGACGAAGCTTTGTCTCACACGGCCCAGCTTCTTGGACACGTTTGACTATCCCCTGGAGAGTTCATTATAATAACTGAACACGGAGGGGGGAGTAGTTTACCGGCCACACATCCCCCTCCCCGCTAGATGGACGCAAGATCGAGGTACTCGGGGCTTCCTTCTGACGTTGGGAGAAGTCTTTGCACTTCATTGATCAGCTACCACCCGCCCAAGCCAACAAGGTGCTGTCCCGTTTGTCC